ATCTAGAAAGGTTTTTCTTGACCAGATTCTTTAAAGATGACACAGAAGTTTCGGTCCCGACTCTTCTCACCACCAAGCAGATGAAAGGAGAGTCCATCAAGACTTATGTGGAAAGATTCTACAGCATGGCATTACGATGCCCGTCAGATATGACCCAATCGATCTTAGTTGAAACTTACAGGCACAACTTGCAGACCCAGCTCATTGCTCAAATGGGGGTAGCGGAATGCTGCTCCTAGAGACAACTGGTTTCGCAAGGAGAACAAGCCGAAGAAATTGTTGCTCGAGTCAAGGCTGAAGAAGTTACTCAACCCAAGCCACAACAGCAACGCAACCAGAACAATGCTTCGCGCTCCAAGGGAAAGGAGACATTGGCTACCGACACCAACACGCGCACGCCACCTGCGAAGCAAGGCAAAGCATCGAAACAACAAAGAGCGCCTAAGCAATACTCGTTCAAAGAAGAGCATGTGGACACTCTGTTCCAACTACTTCGGAAGAACAACAAACTATAACTTCCTGAGATCAGAAAACCAGATGAAGCAGGGAAGATGGGTGATCCCAATTACTGTCGTTATCATAGGTTCTTGGGACATCCTACCGGAAAACGCTATGTCTTCAAAGACATTCTACAAAATCCGGTGAATGCTAGCGTGCTCACACTGAAGCCCGAACAGAAGACCGTATCCACTAATTTGATAGCGGTCTAATTCGGTGATTTCCCTCTAATAACGGCTGCAGACGGTATTATCCTCATCCACAAAGGGGAAATACACATGAAAAATACTGACTTACATAGTCAGAAAGACAGGGGGTTGGTACCCCTCACTACCTCAGAAGGAAAGATCATGTGGGTCCATCCTGATCTGGTTGAAGACCAACAGTGGACGAACACCTCGTCCAAAAAGAAAAGAGGCAAGACTAAGTCATCCAATATGATTAGCCCCTCCGTAAATGAGAATTATGATCATCTCAAACCTCTTACAGACTCAGAGGTGTTTGCGTCAGGAACAAGTTCTGTTGTAGAATTCATTATAACTGTTTATCGATTATAATGAATGCAAAAGAGTGAGCTTCATACTTTGTAAAACTACTCTTTACAACAAAAATCAAATTACAAGCTCCTTAGAAACAAACGCAGGCTCGTTGTTTGGATCGCTGCTTGCGTGGGATCTTTGCCTGTGCCGGGGGTGCGTTAGCCCGTGGACCACCGATTCACAGATTCTTATTGAATCGTGAAGGTTTTTGGATATTCTTCTTCGTTTATCGAAGTAAGAATCTTTAAGCGAATATCTTATTGATGTAAGATGTTCACTCTTCCAAAGATCAAGTCAGAGCTTAGATCTCTAGGAATCGCCAAAAGCTTCTTGAGGATGTTTGTGAAGAATGAAGACTCTCTCTCTTGCTCAAAATCAACAAAAGCTCAAGCCTTTTCTGCTCCAATCTGCTCTCTGTCCTTTATTTCGTGTCTAGGGAGGTATTTATAGGGGTATCAGTGCATAACAGTGAAAATGGGGGTGAGACAACCGACCAACCAAATGCCCTTTGGCCGCGTCAGTCAACACTGCCGCGGCTATTGGCGTGGCAGTGTGGGCTGCCGCGGCTAAAGGGGGAGTTACACCCACGTTCCCTCGTGTTTGAAACTGTTCTCCCACGACCTTTAACCACCTTTTTCGTGGTTTAACTGCTTGTCCACGTCAGCACACGTTCTATTTCTGATATGCCGCCACGTGGACTTTAAAAATTCATCTTATAACTGCCTTATAACCGCGGTAGCATCCCTATAATGACCGCGGTACATAGGCGCCAGCGCCTTAGCGTGGCACCATGGCTGCCGCGCCTTAGCCGCGGTTCCCCATGGCTTAGATCGCCTCAGCCGCGCCGCCATGCACTGCCTATTGGTGTGTACATTATTCTTCCATGTTGTCTCGCTTCCTTTGAATGATCTCCTCTGATTAAGAGAGTGGCGTTTATCATCTTCTCTTTGCCTTGAGTGGTATTTGGATGTCTGTAAGCATTTTTTTTGACGCCTACAAGAGGAAAAAAGGATTGTTCTTGCAGCATATCCGAAAGGCAATCCTGGCACTCGGTCAGGAAAAATTTACTTAAAGGACTACGATCAGAATGCTCAAGAAGCAGAAGAACAACGCCAAGATGCTGGGGGTTCTATTCCCAAGAAGTCAGTTGACAAAGGGAAACAAAAGGAAACCCAGTACAATAAGAATTTTCTTCAAGAAGTTGGGGAATCAAGCGTTCCTTTTCAGTTCAACGTCATGGCGTAATTAGCCAATATACTGGCTAGGATTACCCTATACGAGCTCCTGAGATTGATACGAGTTGCCGTGCGAGCACCCTTTGGTCGCGGAATTACCAAAAGGTGGGTTGAGAAGAGGATGATCAAACACAAGAACAATTCAGTATAAGGCGAAGGAAAATACCTTCTCTAGATTATGAAGAACAAAAGATTACAATCTCTCCCTCATAATCTCACTAGAATCGAGAACAACCTCTCAACTCTCTCTCTAAACCCTAATACAATTATTAGAATTTCTCTTGATTACTTCTCTCTGAGATCTGATTACAATCTAAACCCTAATCCTTTTGATCAGGATTTTACTTAGACCTAAAACCCTTTAGGACTACATCTTGGCCTCTAACCTCCTTGTTTAGAACCCTAAACAATCCCTATTTATAGGGTTTACAACGTGGTGGTAATCTTGTAAATAAACAAGTCCAAAAGGATCAGGAATCCCTGTCAAAATAGAATCCAAAATGAACCAGGAAAAGCCAAATATCGTGATCCGGTCGACCGCCAATCCTGGTCCGGTCGACCGGCCAGAGCGCTTCTGCAAACCCTGCCTTGTGCAGGTTTCTCCAGTCGACCGGCATAGGTGCCGCGGTCGACCGGCCAGAACCCGACCCTGTTTTTCCTGATCTTTTGCGTTCCACTCCTTCTGACTTCTTTCGCCGTCCTCTATGGCTCCAACCACGCCTCTATTCTCAAGATATCATGAGAATCACCTATCCTCAAGCTCCCATGAGGATCGTTTTTCCGAAGAGAAGATACACCCGTATCAAATGAGAATCACCTATCCTCAAGCTCCCATGAGGATCGTTTTTCCGAAGAGAAGATACACCCGTATCAGAGATTGTCCAAAACCATCAAAGAAGCTCTAATTGAAACATTAAAGAATACGGAAAGCTTTATCACACAAGTCATCCTAATTCCTGAAGCTTCTGAAGTTCAATCTTGTCTACAATGCCTACAACCAGCAAGAAGTCTACCATGCATATCATTCACTTATATCGCGTGTCATAATTGGCTAACAATTTCCTAACTCATCTCTCTTATCTTATTTTGGCATTTCATTTTTTGGTGTATTGCATTGTCTTATTTTTAATTGCATATTTATTACCTCATAATCCTATTCACCCCTCTAGGGCTTTCATATAATAGGCAGGGATGGTAAACAATCAAATCAAATCGAATACTACATTCCTATTTATATTTGTTTAAAATTATTAAAATCAAATGCAAAATCTAATATTCATTTCCATCCTAATAATAGGAGAGGAAGATATCTGCTACATGATGTTGGAGCTCCACCGGGTGTAAGCATAAGATCATTCACAACATCCTACATGTCATCTACAGCAACAAGAGCAGCACCGGGCAATTTACGTGTCTCCACGTATTTGCGTGGAAAGATTAACTCAGAGCTGCACGTTCAGGTGACTAAGGAGATGGGTAGTGTTGTGTTGATGGCTCACACGATGGACGAGGTCATGTCCTCATTATAAATTGTATGGCCAGTGTGATTCCCGTTGATCCGTTTGATGATATCATACCACTTATCTACTCGGGCACCGGTAATACCGGTTTTGGGCATAACAGCGCACATGTATCTTATTTTAGCTCACATACTAATGAAGTCCCAAAAAATTTAATAGTTGTAAATTATTTTTATAAAAGTAAAAATCCTAAAAAACTAATGCTAAATTGAGTATTTAAGGGACTAGTTTATTAAAAAAAATATTTATGTTTAATATATTATCAAACTTCACATTATTCTAAAATATAATCAATTGTACCTTTCACACTGGAGACATTGGAGGGAGCGGCACCGGTTATCGTACAAGGGATAGAGTCGCTGCCGCCGCCGACGAGATGTGAGGTTTTTTTATTTTTAATGCATTGAATAGTTTTTTATTTGTAATAGTACTCTATTTTTATTCATCTCGTGTACTCTATGTTATTCATCTCGTGTTATGGATGGGCTTGGTATTGCTAGTGTATCTATTGTAAATATTCGTATAATATAAGTTTTTACTGAAATGTATATTGGCTTAGATTATTGGATGTGTATATTGGACCAGATTGTTGGATGTGTATTTTGGATTGGATCGTTGAATGTGTGTATTGGATATGAATATTAATTATATTTGATTGGATGTGTTTATTAAATATACAAGAATTATGTATTTATGTGTATATCGTGAATGTAATGTACAAGGAATTAACATTTTAAAAGGATTTTTTTACAGAAAAAAGAACAACCTAGATGAAATTTCTGTCTAGGTTTATTCAACATAGATGGAATTTCCGTCTAGGTTGCGGCCTAGATGGATTTTTCGTTTATGTTGCTACCTAGACGGATTACTGTTATCCGTCTAGGTTGCGTTCTGTCTAGTTTGATCAACTTAGACGGATTTCCGTCTAGTTTGTGGCAAACTAGGCGAAATTGTCCTAGACAGACTTTTTTAGACGGATTTCGGTCTAGGTTGATCAACCTAGACAGAAATGTAAGCAACCTAGATGGAAAACCGTGTAGGTTGCGCGTTTTTCTACTAGTGATTTTTTTAAAATAGGATGATTTTGATAAATATTTAGCAAAACGATCGTTTTTTAAATATTTAGCAAAACCAATTTCTTTTTTGCCCGCTCACCAAGAGTTGGCCAAAAGAGGCCGGTTTTACTGAATAGGGGTCTCGAAATACTTAGCAGAAAATTCACGGAAACTAATTTATGTCGATGTTTTCCCTAATGATACATACTCATTATACGTGAGAAAAAAATGATCTAGAAAATGATCGACTTGTGACATCTGATAGTTAGGGGGTTATCTAACAAACAACCAAACTTAAGAGTGGTTTTCCAATCTGAAATTTACCCATTTATTTTTCCATACTCAGAATCAAGGACGCCGACATAACATCATCATCATCTAGTAATATGCTGAACAAACGAATCGAACTCAGCCTTAGACGATCCATTCTCCTTCACAGCGCCTCTAATCTCCTTCCCTAACCCCTTCGCCCTCTTCCTAATCTCCTTCCCTTCGTCATCAGTGCCCATCACTCTCTCAATCGCCCTCTCAACCTCCGGACCGGATACCGTGTCCTTCCTCCGTTCCCAGCCCCTCACCAAAACCCCAGCCTTCAGATACTCGCACACCATCGTCGCATTCCTTGGCTGATCCGAATGCATGGGCCAAGCGATCATCGGCACTCCGAAACTCAAGCTCTCGATGCACGAATTCCACCCGCAGTGGCTCACGAAAACACCCGTCGACGGGTGCGCCAAGATTTCCAACTGCGGTGCCCAGCCTCGCACTACGACTCCAGTCTCTGACGTGGATTCCTCGAAGCCTGATGGCAGTTTCCTCTGTTTAGTACTGTTTTCGTTGTCAGTGAAGATATCGCCTTTGTCTGCGTCTTTTAAGACCCAGATGAAGCGCTGACGGCTGTGCAAGAGGCCGAGGGCTAGCTGCTCGATCTGTTCGTCGGAGATCGATACTGTGCTCCCAAAAGAAACGTAGACGACGGATTCTGACGGTTGCTTGTCCAATGCAAACACTCGTGGCGATCGTGGTCGCCACCGCTCGCTGAAACTGGACTCATCGGTCCGATTGCGAACAACTTCTTGTTTCGATACCTGGGCACATGCGGCATCAACTCGATGAACTCCCCATCGATCTCCTTACAAGTATTCATCACGACTCCGGCCCTCGACGACAATTCTCTCCGGTACTTGGCCAAAAACACCCAGAAGTCTTCTGGATAGCAGTCAGGAAACTGGGTGAGGACCACATTTCTCACTTCTCGACTCAGCTTGTCACCAATATTCTCGAGTTCGTCGGTGAAGAACGAGAGCTGGTACGACGCCGTGACGCACTGAAACTCGTACGTCTCGGCGTTGGGGATCGAATCGGCCTCGGCGCAGGCGAATCTCATGAGAGGGTCGTGGACGACGACGAGGCGACGGGAGGAGAGAGAGAGGGAGCGGAGGAGGGAGGTGAGGGGGGACTGGAGGGGTGCATGGCGGCTCGAAGGAGGGAGGAGGTGGAGGGGATTTGTAAGGGGAGGTGGGGTGGGGAGGGGGAGGGGAAGGGAGTGAGGGGGAGGTGGTGGAAGCGGATCTGGAGAGCGGAGCGGAGGCCAGCCCTGGAGGGCGGGTCTTGGCACTGGAGGGAGTGGTGGAGGAGGAGGCGATGTGGACGGGGAAATGTGGAGGAAGAGAGGTGGGAAGGGAGAAGTGGAGGAGTTGGTTGAGGTGGCCTTGGGCTGGGAAGGGAGCGCGACGAGCAAGACGGATTGTTTCTCGGCTTGTTGGCCGTTTGGTGTGTGCTCGGCCATCGTTTGTTTGTTTTGTCTGTTTGTTTGTTTTCGTTGGGAGGGCACTCTCACTTATATGGATGGGTAGATGGTATTCTATCTACTAGTGGAGAATTGCACACGGGATCCACTTATAATCATGATAGTATGAATCAGCAATGAGTGCAACCTGTGGCGTCTAATGTACGTTAAGGGCCTGTTTGTTTTGCCAAAAATCAGTGAAAACGAACAAATGAAACCTCACATGGGTGTCAGGTCAGATTTTGTTTTCCAACAATTTCCATTTCTTATGTTTGGTTCACCAACCAATTTTGAGAAATGGGGTTGTGAATTGGGGTCCACGTCAGCTTTTTCGGAATTGTGTTTTCAGCTCGTTTTGGGCTAAAAACGGATGGAAATGTCTCTTCACCGATTATTTATTCACTGAGCACGAGAAACGAAACGGCGGACTCATTGAAGAGGGTTTCCTCCTTTTCTCTCTTTCGTCGTTAGCCTCACCGCCATTGATGACTGCTCTTCTTCTTCCTCTCTGTTTCGTCGTTTTCAGCTCTTCTTCTTACAACCAACTATTAGATAATTAACAACAATGATACGAAACAGTAATCTTTTTATTATTTTTCGATGGTGAAGAAGATTTAAATTCTTGCATGGGCGATCATATGTGACTGTTTTTATTTTCTACTAGTATTTAGGTGCATATGACTAGGGGTGTCCATCCGGGCCGGCCCGGGCCCGAAAACCGGGCCCGGGCCGAACAAAACCGGAGCCCGGACCCAGGTCTAAGTGGGCCGGACACCAGGTCGGCCCGGTTTTGAAAATTTTTATTTTAAAATTTTTATTTTAAGTTTTAAATAAAAAAGGCAAATAGACACAATTTTAATTAAAAAATTATATTATTAATCATTTTTCATTATGTAATTTACAAATATAAAAAATATAAAAAATTAAAATAATATAAAATAATTATAGAATTTAAATAAATAAACAAAATTAAAAATAATTGTAGATATCAAAGAGACTGTTGAATTTATAGAAATAAATAAAATTAAAAATAATTATAGAATTCAAAGAGCCTCAAGGCCCTATATCAAAGACTTTTAAATATATATGTTGTAGCTAGAATTTGAACCACTAATCTCCTTTCCAAACTCCTAAAGTTTACCACTAGACTAAATAGCCCAAAATATTCTTGTCATTCATATATTATACATAAACAAATTGTAAGTACTTATATAAATTACATAAACAAATTGTATTATACATAAACATATATATAAAAAATATAAATTATATATATATTAGTATATATATATATATATAATTTATAATATATATATATATATATATAGAAGAGTTATACATATATACTAAAGACGAGAGTATAAATATATATAGAGAGAGTTACATTGTACACATATATAAGAGAGAGCATACTTATACATATATATAATTATATAAGAGATATATACATATATAAGAGAGAATAACTTACATATATACTTATATATAAGAAGGAGCATACTTATATATATTTATACATACTATAAGAGGTGGCATACTTAACATATATATAATTATATAGAGATATATACATACATACATATATATATTATATATATATATATATATATATATATATATATATATATATATATATATATATATATATTATATATATATATATATATATATATATATATATATATATATATATATTATGTAATTAAAAATAAAAAAATAAATGATGAACCGGGCCCGAACCCGAGCCCGGGCCCGGTTTTGACCTGGATTTCCGGGTCGACCCTGGGCCGGGCCCGGACCGCGCGCTTCTTGGACACCCCGACTTGCATGTTGCAAAGCAGGGAAGAATGTTTTTAATGAGATTGTGAAGAAAAGTTAACAATTTCTTAGGAGTTTTTCTCTTAGATTTTATACTGTAAGGCCCCGTTTGGTAAAAGGTTGAGGAAGAGGGATTAAGGATAATGATTAGCATAGTTCACCTACTTGATAATCCGAAAGACTAAATTATTAATTCATTATATAAGTTTTATTTTAGCCATTGTGATCATTTTTAGTGTTTGGGAATAACAAGGATTTTGACTATTTTCCTTTATAACTAGAAGGATTAACTCTTAATCCTTCTAAATAGGAGTATTAGTAAACTCTTAATCCTTCTAAATAGGAGTATTAGTAAACCTCTTATTTTGAGGGGTTACCTCATTTTAATCCCTCTAGAAAGGTTAGCTTATCCATTCTATATTTTTTGTGTTTGACAGATTATGGAGGGTTAACTCACTTTAATCCTTGTATAGATTTTCTATGTTTAACGGGTTAAGAAGGGGTTAAGTCTCCTTAACCCCCTACTTAACCCTTTGCCAAACGGTACCTAAGAGTGATTATTTTTCTAATGAAATATCTATCTAGAATTCGGATGAATTTTGCTAACCATTACTAACTAAGAAAAACAAAAACAAAAACCCAAAAACGATGCGAAATCCAATTAATTTTTGCTGTCTATATTAAAAAGCAAGTAGAGGGTCCTTTTTTGAGTCGACGTATGCAATGACGACACAATAAGTAGACGCAGTACCTTAGAAAATGAGATAAAAAGTCTTAGCTATGCTAATTTGCCTTTGTAATTTTGCGGACTCTATTTATTGGTTTATTTATATGTTGTTCTTTCATACTAATTTGACAAGTTCAAGTCAAAGATCAGCGATAGACGTTCTTTGGTCTTTTTCGATAACTCACTTAAATTGAGAACCGAGGTAGTATTCAAAGTATTGAAAATTACAAGGGCCTTATTTGTGAGGACTTGTGCCGGTGACGAACTCTTATTAATGAGTGTTCTAGAAGCATTCACTAACGAACGCTTTTTTTAATATCACATCACGGTGTGAAATTAAGTATAGACGTTCTTTGGTCTTTTTCGATAACTCACTTAAATTGAGAACCGAGGTAGTATTCAAAGTATTGAAAATTACAAGGGCCTTATTTGTGAGGACTTGTGCCGGTGACGAACTCTTATTAATGAGTGTTCTAGAAGCATTCACTAACGAACGCTTTTTTTAATATCACATCACGGTGTGAAATTAAGTAT